CTCTGTGATCACAGAGGAGCAGCCAGGCGTCTCCTTCACTGCTGATTGGTCACAGCACATTTCAGAGAAGATGCTGTCCACCCCTGAGAGATAAAAAGGCATTTAATATCAAAATGATATTAATCTAATTGAATGTACACATGCAGTATGTGTACCCAAATAAAAATAAATAAATAAAATAAAATGTTTGTTCTGCTTTGATATGCATTTTGATTCACCTAATACATAAAGATCTATCATAAAGCCTTCTAAATTTCATGGATTATTCCTTGTATGCAGTCCTTTAAGTGGAGAAAAATAGGCACTGGTACTCCTCTTGATGCCATACAAATATGGCCTAGAAAAATGGGTAATATTTCACAGATCTATTTATGGATCAATAGATCTGTAGTTTTATTGCACAGAAATTAAGAGGAAAAAAAGAACAAAGCCAATTCTAAATCAAATCTATACAAACCGAAAACAAAGTGTTATGAATTGACTAACTTTAAGCCTTATGGTGTTGACATAGAAATATAAAACTAAATTTGAAATTTAAAGATATAAAATAAAATCTGAAAAAAATGTTTGTTTGCGGGTTCCCCCCAGATTTGCCACATACTGTGCCTGTGGAACCAAATGCTGAGGCTCCCAAAAAATTGGACTTGTGAAAATCCATAATTACACTCATCATAATAACTAATAATTGTAACTCATATTAACAGCTATAAGCAATGCAAAAATATTTTCTCAATTAAAAGATGGACTTCTGTCCAGTACCCAGGAAAACCACAAACAAAAACACACTCAAAAAAGGAAAAACACAAGGAAGCACAAATTCTGATGCAGTTACTAACTACAAAAGCAAAACATAACTTTTTTAATGAATATAAAATAGAAAACCAACAAAGACCCATGTTCAGCTTTCAAAGAAAAACAGCTGAGGAGAGGGAGGCAATATCAGATGCGAATGGTGGATTGCATCATGCATTTATTGGGTTCCTCATTTTAATCCCTCTTAAAAAAAAATGTCTCCCTGTTCATTTTTCTCCATGTTGAGTAAAATACAGTTATCTGGTGTGGTAGCATATGCACCATTATTTTTGCCAAAGTCTTGGTACCTGCAATACACTTGAAAAAAGTTCAGATTTGGAAGTGATGGTACTGTGTTTCCAACTCACTTAAAGCACTGATTATAGGTTGTACTTTTTTAAGCAACTCAAACCAATGCACTTTTAATCCTACATTGTTAATTTGTTGACAACATATTTTGCAGAAGTTTAATTATAAAATATTTAATCATGTAATTTTGGTTTTTGTTATAAGAAATCTCAACAAAGCATTGAATAAGGTTAACAAAAAGTAAAAGGTGTCTGAACCTGTTTTTACTTTATCCAGGAGTTCGCTTAGAAGGATAGCTTCGTTTTCATACGTCTCTGCTTGAGATCGAGTTTCCTCTAATTTTCGTTCCATGTCTTTCAGCAAAGAGGCCTTCGACTGTGATGCTTCACAATGAAACTTCTCCATCTCTTCTGTGACCTGCAGTGACTCACAAACTGATAGTTAGACTCCACTTCAACTCAACACACAGTCTCGTCTTTCTTTAAACTGTTTTAGTTACCAACATTGTGTGTGAATAAACTTGAGACCATTATTTTATAGTCATTGTTTATGTGTAAAAGTGAACCAGTAAAACAACCAGATACCTTCCTGATTTCAACCTTCAGTTTCTCAGCCTCAGCCTTTTGTTCAGTGATGACTTTCAAAAGGGCCAGGTTTCGGTCTTCAGCTGCTCCACAAAATAGAAATACATCAATTAAATACCGATACCTTCACTTCGATACCGGTTCCTGAATGATACTTTTTTCGATACCAGTTTTATAATATCAATTTGAAGAAAAAGAAAATTACGCAACATAATAAAGTACAAATCTTGAGTTTTATTTTAAGCTCAGATTTTTTCATTTACATTTTTCCTCTTACATAAAACATTTTTTTTCAGTGAAGAAGAACAGTTTTAAACAAGTCATTGTCTAATATTCACTGTTACATTGTGAGAACCTTTTTACTTAGCAGTTATTCTTTAGAAAAATTAACATGTCTGCTTTCTCAGGAGACAAATAAGCCCGTTGAATGGGGTCTGACAGAAATAAAATTGGAAGGCAGTATGTTAATCTGGATGAACTGATTGCAAT